AGTTGTTTATGCCTCCACCTAGCTTCTCCTCTTCCTTGCTTTGTCTCCTTTCATGCTTGCAGGTTTAGCTTTCTTCCTTATCTGTGTAATTCCCTGATCCACCTGAACTTAATTCCCCAAACAGCAGCTCCTCTGTATGGGAAATGCATCAGACTCCTTAGGCCCTTAAATGTGCAAACTGACTCAAAATATATAATATGTGATGGAGAAGATGACAAATCAAATGACGTGTACAGCAATAAACAGGAGTACAGTTTTAACTGTGTTATTTACTTTCTTCAGGAAGTAAATGCTGCTGTTATTTATAGTTTGTGATGTCTAAGATCCCAGCTGCAGTCGGGATATGAGAGCAAAGAGCCAAGCAGCAACTGCAAAGGCAGTCTAAAATGGAAAAACAAAGTCACAGATGACTTTATCATTGTCCAGAGGCCCTAATGGAGTTTTTATCTCTGCTCTGAATCTGGAGGTGTTAAGCAAAAAGAATTGATGAGAGAAGGGGAAGAAAGACAGACAATAAAAGCATTATGCTGATCTAATATTTGACTGCATTCACATTTAATCTTGTTTTTGTGGGGTGTTTTTTTTGTGATTCTGGAGTCATGCCAAAGTCACAGCCCCTCTAGCTTCTCTACCCTACAAGAATAATTGCAGATTGATTCTGTAACTCAGCAGACCTGCCTGCATCTTGCTGCAGATTGTTACCTGTCACCTGAATGACAGACTCTGGAAAAGTAAGCCAAAAAAAAAAAAGACTTCTGGGAGCATCCTGTCAGTTATCTGAGCATCCACAGGCTGTGGAGGGATAAGATTTCTGTAGGCTGGGCAACCACTTGCTTCCAGCAATAGTATCATAGGTCAAAATGTAAACTCCTGGTTTGGCCTTTTCTCTTGGGATAATTTCCATGTGAGGTCACTGAAAATTTGAACTCCTTCAATTTTTTTCCCATTGACAGCAGTTCACTGGATTGAGACTATGTTTTATTCCAGCATAAAAGAACACTGCAGGGAAACTAAGGTGACACCATTCTTTTTCTAAGTATATATCTCACCTGTCATATGCAGCTTGTAAGGCTTTGCTGATATGCCATATAAAAGCACTGAATACTGCAGTGCATTCTTACTGGCATAAGAGCTAGTAAAATGTACGTATGGTTCTCATGGCAGTATTTAATCACCTGACTGTAAAATCTCTGCTCTTCAACACATTCTCCCCAGAGTTCAAGATCCAGTTGATATATCTTACCTCCTTCGTTGTCCTTACTGTCAGTGCAGAGAGTTTCCATGGCTACGTCACAGCCTGCTCCCCTCCACCCTGGCTGGCAGACACAGTGCCAACCATTCTGGTCCAGCGTGCACCTCCCATTGCTGTTGCACAAGCCAGGGCAGCCCTCTGTTTAAACAGACAAAGAAGAAAAAGCACAAGTAATTTAAATATTGTAATAATATATGAAAAAATAATACAAACAAGGGACACTTACTGGGAACAGGCCTTAAGAACAGCACAAATACTGTAATTGCACATGGAGTGGAACAGCAACAGTACCTGGGGAACGTAATTCTTAACAAAGTGGCATCTTTGATTGGCTTGACACTTGAGACACCACTTACCTGTACAGGCAGGAAATAAATGCACCAATCCTCTAAATACCTGCAGGCCAGACAAAATTAAGTTTTGGGGTTTTTTTCAATTTTTGTTTTTGGCAAAGTAACAAGAGATGAGTGCATAGTGCAAACACAGCTGCGTAAAGCGATACATTTTTCTGTGCTCATGGATCGTTATTTGCTCTATGCAGTACTGATTACTTACTGGCACAAATGTTTAAGCTCCCTGTTACTATGAACAAATCCCTCCAAATTCTTAAGTAGGAAGATGGGTATGATTTTAGGCATGTAATAAAAGAGAACATTAACTTTATCTGGTCTCAGAGTTGCCGTGTATTCATGTGAAATTACAGTGCGTTAAATAATTGCACAAAGTATAGGCCAGTTTTAATGACTATACTTTATGCCAGAAATACATTCCTTTTCACAGAATAAGCAAAGCCCAGGAAATAGTGAAGCAGCTTAGCATCTATTCTAACAAACATTAGGATTCAGGCTGCATACGGATGGGACAGGACCAACAGGATTTCCAACTAAATGTAATAGCTGTGCGTATTTGATTACTTAGGACGGACAAAATGAAATACCATAAGGACCACAATAAACATTGATAGACTGAACAAAAACACGGTAGTGACGTGCTTCAAGACAGATAGCAGAGTGATTTTTTGTGACAATCTCCCTAAGGCTTTTGTGCTGTTACCTTTATATCCTATCTTGTCTGCTTTTATGGCCAAGGAGGGAAAATTTGGGAAACAATTAACATAATTTAATATATCCAAAATCGATAATTGTTTTCAGTCTAACATTGCATTAAAAAACATTATCTGTCACTTCCTAGTGATGAAATCTGGCATGCAGCCAACATGATCTGTATGAGGATGACAACACTATAAATATGTAGATTTTGGTGTTCCTTATCTATGACTATGATAAGACACTGACAGAAGCAAGTACAGATATGGCATTAAATATCTTATGAGTAGGTGGCTACAAATCAGATATTTCTGGACACAACAATTTTCAGCAAACTTTTATCCAAACCCCCTAAGTAACTGGCTAAACAATTCTTCACTTTGTAGAACAACTATCTTTGTGAACTAAACTACTGATCTATTTTGTTTAAGCTTAGTTGAGCTTAGAGCAGTCTTTCAGAAGTAATAGTCTCCTTTTTTTCTGCTAAAGACTTTTGAATCTACTGACTCCTTTCAGCCATGTAGCTCCAAATTACAAACATTCCCAGAAAAAAAAGTTATAAAGGGTGTTTAACTCTTGTCAAATCACTCCTAGAAGGCAGAGAAACACAAAAAACCTCTTGTGAGGAAGGACAGGGACACTACAGTTACGAATATTGTGCCATCATGCCAGGCTGAAATTCGTCTTGCTACTCTTACTCTTTGAGACTGAAGTAGCTAAGAGTATTTGTTGACGTACTGAGAGCTATTTTTTCTTAATCTTTCTTCTGTTTGATTTATGGAAGACTTACATATATAACTGCAATACTGACAGAGCACTTTAGGAGTAAACTGGATACACTCAAGACTTATTGTATGAAAGCCTGGATATTGCCATCAATATTGCCATATTCTAATGAAAAAAAGACAAATAAGGAATAGAGATACTCAGGGAAA